TTATAGCAATAAACATTAACTTGGTAAATTCACAGATATAGAAAGAAAGGCAAATCAAATTTAAAGAAAATGACTCAGGTCCTTAAAAAATTTTTGATGGCTTAAGATTATGTCTGCTGAGCTATGGCTTGAGCAACGGTTCTCTCAGTGTTCTTTCTAGAGTTTTCCAACCTCAGTTCTATTTTACGTAGTGCTTCATTTTTATTTTTACTGGGATTAAATTTAGTAGCTAATGTTGCTCTTTTAGTTTTCTTTTGTTCTCATCAAATATTCATCAAGACACAATAAGTTACTCATCTATTTAAAAAACTTATTCAGACTTCATATGCAGAGCTCGAAACCAACTCTAAATATAGCTTTAATTCCAAAAACCCTATAAATGGGAGTTAACGTTCTGAGGACTTTCCTCTTTCAAAAAGGAAAAGTTGGAGAGAAAGGTGAAGTAAGTGCCCTCAATCACATGCTCAGAAGGCTGGTCAAACCAGAGCTCGTCTCCAGCGAAACGACTGTGCCCCGTCTTGCCCTTGACTCCTCAGCAGCAAACTTGGGCTTGGAGAGGTCTCTGCCTCTCTGTTCATACAGTGAGCTTGGTCTCTGTGGAGTCCTGAGTCGCTTGAAAACATCCCTCAATTCCTCCTCTCCTCCCTCCACTTCTCCCAGCTCTTATAGTCACAAAGTCACAAGTCAAAGAGTATTTCTGTTTTGGTGATGGAGTCTCCCTAAACCAAGAAAAGTATAGGGTTTACCGGTAGCTGCTATTGGCTTTTGTCTTTTTATCAGCCACTTGCATGGATTTTCACTAAGGGGGTGTTGAATATTTCCCAGAATATGGGCTCTTTGATGTCCTCTTTTGAGGTTCTGTATATGCCGTTTCGAGGGTGCAGAGTTAATCACGTGATTACAGCGGAGTACTCCTCACTACCCTTTGCTTGCTCATTAAGTGACCTTGTACATGGATCAAGGCTTTTCTTATTGTCTCAGGTTGTTCTTGGTTCCCTGAAATGACCAGGACACCCATGGACTGTCATAGCGAATGAATATTGTTAAAATCCATGAAGAACTTTTTTGTGGAAAGGAAAAAAACTGCTCTGCTACCCACTTGTCTGAGTTCTGATTTCTTAGTCTTTTTCTCCATGCAACTTTGCTCACTTGTTTTAATATTAGTTCAGGTCCTTAAAAAAATTCAGCTTAATCTTATTTATCCAAAAGGGGAAAAATTAACCTTGATTTCTCTTCTTGCCCTTTTCAAATATCTACTGTAGCTGTGGAATAGGCTGAGGATAGTCAAGGCCTGAGAGGCAGGCCCGTGTCCCACTTCCCTGAGGCCAGCATTCAAATCATTGCACAGACACAGATGACTCAGAAATAATAGGTGTCGACCATGGCCTTAATCACTTCCATTATCATCCATTTTATACAATAATTGTAATGACCAAATTGATTCGGGGCTCTATAAAGCCAAACAGATTGGCAGACAGTATAGCATAGTGGTTGAGAAACTGCACAGGTTTTACATTCCCATAGAACTGGATAAATTTCCAGATCTGTCATTTATTGTCCATGTGACCTTGGGAAAGTCTCTTGACTTCACTGAGCCTCATATTCTCTGTAAAATAAGGATTGTGATAACCACCTGTAAGAAGGTCGGTGTGATAATAAAGTGAAACAACATATCAAATAATTTAGCATAGCGCCTGCAACTACTGTTCACGGAATAATAGATGATAGCATAGAGTGCTCTGATATGTGTTGATGTACTAGATTATTTTATCAGTTAACTGTTACTTCAGTACAAAGCACTATGGTGAGTATGATGAATCCCCCTCCCCCAAATTTGAACTCTCTCTTTCCTCAAAAACTTTATAATGCAATTGCTAACTGAGAGACAGCATAGAAATGCATAGAAAAATAAAAGAGCAGTTGGACACAACTTTTTCCTGGAGTGCTGTCTCCATTCTGAGCCAAATCCAAATCTGAGGCTGACACACTGCCCCATGGTTCACATCTGAACAACAAGGGCAGTCGATGAAATAATATTCAACACTCATCCAGCAAATATTTATTGGCATCTACTATGTGCCAGACCTGTGCTAGGTGATGGACATGACAGTCTTCTAGGGCCTGTTTTAAGTAGCATGAGGGGGTCTGTTTTAAGCATTTTATATAAACTAAGTCTTTTAATCCTTCAACAAAACTGGGAGGGAAGTACTAGTATTAGGCCCATTTTACAGATGAAAAAACGAAGCACAGAGTTAAATAACTTGTTCACAGCCACACAGGTAATATGTAGCAGAACTGGATCGGAACCAAGCAAGGTGGCTCTAGGATCTGTGCTCAGAATCCTACGCCTTACTGCTTTCCGACAGTTCTTGGTCATATGAGACCATTTCATGTCTCTGCCTTGGTTTGTTTAATCCTCTTTTCCATATATGTATGATTGGGGCTTCACTCTTTCCTTTCCTTTCAGCACTGAACACTTCAGAAGGGACTGTAAAATCCTCATGGACACTAGGTAGGTCCTCCAAGCTGTGTGTCATCGGTTATCATATTTAAGGCAATCTTGCTCTTTTAAATGACAATTACAAAATACATTGATGTATTAAAAACATTTACCTCAGGGGAGGTTTACTTCATAACCTAATAAAACAAGACTTCTAACTTGAAGGCTAGTACAGCCTTTGAAGTATTATCTACATTGTCCTAAACACGAATTTGTTCTAAAATTAAGCTGTCAATTTATAGTAGAACTAAAATTAATATGCTCCTCTTGGTTTCACACTTGGGAATAAATTCCCATCTGTAAAATGCTCTGAAATTTGGAGGGCCAAACCTGAACCTCTCCTCTGTCCAGCCCTGTGTCTCTTGTGCAAAAAACAAAAACAAAAACAAAAACAAAAACAAAACAGAGAATATGAACCATCAATAACAACCAGCTTGTAGGAAGGATGTTTACTCAGATTCTAATGTCACTTTCTTTCCAAGTTTTCAGCTATGTTAGAGACATCATTTGAAAAAGAAAGAAAATTTGCCTCAGATCTGCAATGGAAAACACTGTAAAAAGAGAAAAATGGCTGCCCACATAGTCTCAGGACGTATATTTTTCTAAAGAGATGAACACTATCCTTCATATGCTCTTTTTAGGACCTCCATCCTGCACACACAGTGGACTATTAGACCAGGCACTAAGTCTTATCCATGGTAAGCAAATGACATACAAAGAACAAAATCGCTCCCTTGAAGTTGAAATCAAAGAGCCCTCATGAGCAGCCTTATGTACAGCCGAACGGGAGAGCACACACATGTGTGTGATGGAGGCAGTCCAGGGAGAGGAGCACGCTTCCCAGGGGTTGTTTTAAACAATGACAGACTGCAAAATCTGAATGTGATGTGTTGGAACATGAAACACACACACACACACACACACACACACACACACACACACACTCTGAAAAACATTGCCAAAACCCCTCAAAGCCAGCGTTTAGAAGAACACGTGCCCTGGATGGAGCAGCAGTGATTTCAAATTCACTCCATTTATGATTTCATTCCTCGTCTCTTTGATCACTTTGGCACACTATTTAGGAAGTAACAGAGAAAGAGAAACATGATGCTGGAGACAGAAATTTAACGATGAAACAAAGCCACCCACCTTGCTTTCGAGGTCAGGAAGTACAATGGCCTTCTTTTGCAGCAAGAATGAACTTAAAGCACCAGTGTGTTCAATGATCACATATATATTTAGAAGAAAAGGAAAGGGTTCTTAAAAAAAACTGCTGCAAAAACTCAGTCCTCATAGCAAATGTTACAGGAAAATAATAAGTAAAAGCAGCACTTGGTGGTTCTTTTGGCACGAGGCAGAAAGCAGAATCCGTCACTATTCCCCTGTTCTGTTGGGGGTGCAAGAGGGGGGGCGGGGGCGGGGGAAGCAAGAGCAAAAGGTGTTGTTTGGAAGGAGGGGAAGGATCTTAAAACACCTCCTGCCTTCCTGGTCCCCTCCCAGTGCCTTCGCTCAGTGTGGGCTGGAGAACCGCACTGATCAACACCAATGTCACCATCCGCCGCTGAAATGCCGCAAAAGTACACTTAGAAATGAGAAGAAAGTGACTGACACGGATATGCTGGGCCAGCCCTACTGCCACTAGCACAGTCTTAAACGCCCACACAAGGAGAATAAAAAGAAAAGCACATTTTGCAATGGAATAATTTTTCTTTTATTGAGACCGCGGAAAGTCACGTGACCCTGCATGTGTCCTTTTAAGAAAGCAACCGAGATGGTAAAGAAAGGAGCGGGGCTGGCTCCTTCCTCCCGCGCCTCTCAGCGCGTCCCGCCGCGTGTCCGCATTCTTCTGGGCGCATCTGTGGAGCTATTAAGTGGGATAATCCCTCTGGCCTTTGATACATTTCTGGACATGATTATTTCATTACTCGCAGTATATCAGTAGGATCATAATAAAAAGGACTTCTGACAACCTGCCAAGAGTTTTGTGGCCTTGTAAACACAAAAGTGCTCTAATAAAATTTTATTAAGTGTTAAAAAGTCATAAAAAGTGAAATAACATAAACTACAAAATTTACTGTCCTCAGCGAATGCTGAAAATATCGTCCCCAGTAAAATTAAATTAGCATGTAATAGACAGAGAAGCAGTGTGGAGTGGATTTAAAAGAGGATCCAGGGGAAATGACACTGTAACCCAACCCGGGTCACGGGGATTTAATTCGGATTTTTCTCCCTAAATGGGAATAAATGTGCTGGTTACAGACAAGAGGTCCGGGGTACTGGAGTCGCACACACCGATTGTCAATACTTGGGCAGGAATGATATATTGCAGGTTGGGATGCACCGGGGAGCGGCGCGAGCGCGGCGGAGCGGCGCGGGGAGGGCGTCCGCTAGGGTGCGCTGCGAGACCGGGAATCCCCGCCGGGGCGCCGCGCTCACGCCTGTCCTCGCCCCCCACCACCCCCCCAATCATATTTACAGTTCTTTTTCTTTTTTTCCCCTCCTCTCCTGCAACGTTTTTTTCCAATCGGAAAATGAAGTGTAAGTCGAGCTTTGCCGCAGGCGGCCCTGGGTCTCCGCTTTCGGAGACTCGGAGTGCCGGGGAGGGATGCGCTGCCCCCGTCGGCGCGAACCCGGAGGATGGAGTGGGGGTCCCCCCGCCCAGCGCCCCGGCCGGGCCGCTCCGCCGAGCGAGGCCCAGGAGCGCGCGAGACCCAAGTCCAGCTCCGCCCGGAGGAGCGCGGGGGCGCTCAGAACGCGGGTCGCCGGCCTCGCCGAGGGTTCAAGTGCAACCCCGCGTCGGAGCCCGCGGCTCTGGGAGCGAGTTCTCCCTGCTCCGCCTCGTGTCGGGAGTTCCCTGGGCCCCGCTGCTCCCGGGACCCCACTCCGTCACCCTCCCGGCCGCGCTGGGCCGCCGGCCTGGGGCGTAAACCGAGGCGCACGGACCGGACGGGCACCCCGATCGCGCCCCTCCTCTTCCCCAGTCCGCACCCACGGCCGGGGCGCCCCACAAGGCCAACGTGGAGGCTCCGCCTGGAAAAGAAGTTGGACTTCCTCCCCACGCTGCTCCGAGTGGAACCTGGAATGGGCAGGAAATTGCTGGAACACGTAGCCGCGCCTTTGCAGCCCGCCTCGCTTTGCTGAAGGGAAGCAGCTCCCACCACAGTCTTGCCTCCCCCTCCCCCCGCAGGTTTGTAAAGAGGGGTGCGAGCTCTGAAAAGTATTTGTCTCCTAGAGAGAAGGATGTCGGTTGCAGCGCCCAGTGAAAGATGGGTGCTTTTTAGCTACGATCATCAACAGGCCACGTCTTGTTTGCAGTTCCAAAATGATGCAAACGCTACCTTCGGGGGAGTCGATATTAACAGTGAATTAATTAGGAGTTAGTGAAATAGGAAGTAAATGGGCAGTGACACATTCTGTGGTTTCATTTCTCCTCGGGGATGTCTAAGGTTTTAAGCTGCATTTAAGAATTAGCTACCTTTTACTAGAAAGGAAGTATTTTTAAGTAGACCTGTTGCTGAAGCCCAGAAGAGGTAAGTTAAAGTTACCACCCAAGATCCTCCGGCTTCCTAGAGGCTCCCACAGGTTACGACGAGGCTAGGATGCCTTGTATTTTTAATTTTCCAGATGGCAAGAGCATTTGGATTTTATGTGCAAGGTAATGTTCAAGGCAAATGGAGCACCCAAGAATACTTTGATAAGCAATGTTCACTTGGCACTTGTAGCCTAAAATAAATATAATTAATTTACAGTGGGAATTATAGCCTCATCATTTAGATTTTTTTGGTAATGTTATCTGGGGGGACAAAGTGTACTTTAACAAGTGTACTTTGGTGTCACTTGCAAAGTACTGAATTTGAAAAAAGCCTGGCCTGGAACATCAAAATCAAAAAATCAAGTCAATTTAAATGTGCTCTGACATTTCCTATCACAGGCTTTGAAAGCTAATAAAAACAGAATTAAAAGGAATGTATCTAAATAATAAAAGTCCTTTTCAACTCAGTGTGCCTGCCTGGGGGAAGGTACAGATTACTTGCCCATGGTAACTCATTTTTGAGCCATTCCCTGCAGATGGCTGTTGGGAGTGTTGTGGGCCAGTGTTGCCTTTGAAAATGAAGGGCAAGCATGTTTATGAGATTACAGAAGCAAAGGTTTGCCTACATGGGTTTTTTCTCAAAAGTTTTTTATTTAAAATTTTATGATGAACATTTCTTCATCGATTTATGAAGTTTAAGAGAAATCTTTATACTTGTATTATTTTGTTCTGTGTTTACATTTCATATTGAAGTTCATCTGTCTTTCAGAAAAAATATTTTCCTAACTATTCAAAATAACACCATGACTAGAATTTTTAACTCTCTTTAGGTAGATATATGATTGCTGTAAGTAATTTAAAAAATTTTACCCAAGATTAGTGCAACCTTATTCAAGGAGTTTAGTGGAGGGAAGAGGATTTCCAAACCTATAAATGCAGTCTATATACTGTTATAATAACAAAGGTTTTTGTAAAGAAACTTGGGAATTAATACATTTTAAATGAATACAAAAACATGTTTTAAAGGGGTTATCCCACACTATTCTCTCTCTTAAACAAAATCAGAAACTATTTTATATTCTGTAGAAATACTAGAAAATTATTACCATAATAAAAGTCTGTCAAGATGGTAGATACTTTTGAATGTGTTATAAAGAAAAAATAATATTCTCAACCCTTTATATGTTTGAGGTACTTGAAAGGCAAGAAGTTTGTAAAAACATTTTACTACTGAATGAAATCTACAAGACCATTAAAATGTGCAAGTAATTTATTCTAAGTGACTGAAAAGTATTTTTTTCAACTGCTTTTCACACTTTGAAATTTTTATGTGTACTTTAATTAGAACCTTTCTTTTAAAAGTTAAATCTCCCAAATATTTTGTTACATTAGCTATATGAGCAAAGCATTATTGGAATTGGTTGTGTTTTACCTTCGGCATAAGCAGTTGAGAAATGTTTTATTTTAATCTTCTTTTATATTTTCATGGGATAAATTTGAACATGTACCTTGTTGGAGTAAAAAAGAATCCAAGTTCATTCTTCTCTCCAAAATTTGGCGTTGATCCTGATTGCATAATTTTTATTGCGATCAATAAACTTCTATTGAAATCAATTTATTTGGACATGCCAGTGTAAGGGAAATTTTAAGACAGTGCAAGTTTTATATGGAAGAATATATATTAAAATGTGAAATAGCTAATAGCCAAAATTAAATCCGGAGGTGTGCTTGCAGCGTTCACTCGTTTGAATGGTAATTTTAGAGGTAGTTTTGCACTAAGGAAGGTTTTCCTTGTGCTCTCTGTAGTTATGAATATCTAAATTATTCTGCCCTGCAACTTAAAAACTCAATAACCAGATACCAAATTTATGTATTTTTAAGGTGACTGAGAATAAGGATATGAGAAGCAGATTGGCTTCATGAAAGAAGCAAGCATTTAAAATTATATTTTAAAATATAAACTTAATTTCACTTTCTGACAGAAATCTTGTGGCCAGCTCATCAGTTTTCCAGTCAGTTTTAAAGCAGTATGTTAAAAACTACCTTTTCCACATTAGAAGTTCATATTTAAGTTTCCTTAACTGCAAAATCACTCTAAAACAGAGTGTTTTATGTTAAGAGCCATTTCATGTGTTGGTCCCATTGATTACATATGAATGTATAAAAATCTTGTTTAAAGACCAGTAAAAGTGAGGAAATTCCAAGTCAAGCTGGCTAATTCCATTCATAATTCATCCCGAGTGCCTGATTTAGGAAACTTGCAAACAGTTTATAGCTATTCATACCAAACAAGTTGCCTTGCTTCGTGAGCGGGCAGCAGAGTTAACTTTGACCTCCTTGCTCAGAGAGGCTTCAGTTGATAAAACTATGGAATGTAGGTTAAGCTTTTTGGTTCCCCAGGAATTTTCCAATCTCTACCTTTTTGGATTTTTGCTTTTTGAAATGTTAACAGGGAAGGACAACTTTTGTGTTCAAAGATGGGTTTGACTTTCACCCACCCATTTCCTTCCCCTTACCCATGTTACAGTAATTCTTTTGAATGCTAAAGAGGCCCTACAGCGAGAAAATGGCACACACCATATCTCTGCCCCCTTCAGCCCTCCCCTACCCCCAGCCCTCCTTTTATTCTGAGATAATTGGGCAAGAATTTAGTACTTGTACTCACATGGTTCAAACTGCTACAGCTATGGCCCAAAGCGCGTTCGAGGATTGGCGAGAAATCCATCTGGGCTTTGCATTCTGAGCCGGGAAGCACTATTGGGGAGCCCTGTGCCTTGACACTGGGAAGCTCCCTTTGGAACCTAAAGCAGTCCATCTGTTCACTTCCCAAGGCTGCACTGTAGGTGGACGCCTGCCCTCAGTTTTGATTTCAGGAGGACATTAAACTATTTCCATGGAGTTTTTTAAGCGCTCTGAGTAACTGTAATTTTAAGCCAGGCTACTTTTTAAGGGTGAAAACTGGCCTCAGAGAGAGGCATGGCAACTGCACTATGATGTCAACTCAGTGACTTTTTAAAGTAAGATCTTGAAAACGTGGGTTTCTGGTGGAAAAGGCTGCCTCCACTTTGAGTAGGAATCTTTAGGATCAGTTAATATCCACCAAACACGCTTCATTAAACTGGAACAAACATGACGTTCAATTACTGGCTCCCTGTTTTCCTGAATGTAGGTCGTTTTGTGTCCATACAATTTAAGGTTTGAAGGGATTTCCTGCCTTTGAAGTGCAGCAGTTTGCCACCTGTTTGGATGGCCTCGCTGAAGTTGGGGCTCCGCTTCTACTTTGAAAGACTGTGACTCCATGTTTCCTGGCTCGAGTTTCCGAGCTCACTGGAGGCAGTGCTACCTGCAGCTGGGAGGCTTTCCTTACAAGTCGGTGCCTGCAGACCCCGTATTCCCGGCTCCGTTCCTCTAGGTCAGAGCCTGCAAGAAGAGCCCGGAGCCATGCACTCACCTGGGTGAAGCCATAGGAGGTAAGCCGTCATAATGAGGAGTCATATATCAAAACTCATAGCTTCTGAGAACCGGAGGAAGTAGTGCTCAGGCAGGAGAGCCTCGTGCTAGCGCAAAACATAAGGACTTGTATGCATATAAGCATAACCAATGGACACAAGACACTGGGAGGGGCAGGAGGAGGGCATGTGCTGGGTGTTAGGGGAGGCTGGGGGGGGGGGGTGGTCCATGGGGGGAAAGGGAGACATATGTACTACTATTTGTAATACTTTAAACAATATTAAACAAAAACATAACAGCCGGTGTCAAATGTGCCAGAGTGGGTGAGGCCCATGGAGGTGATGGCCCACATTCCAATGTGCTTTAAAAAATGTGTGTTATTCTTACTTAAGAGTGCAGACTGTTTCATCACTTTTTATGATGTGGATCCTACAGGTAAACATTTCTAGTGAAATTTTGCCTCTTTAATAAGAAAATGTCATTCACAAATGAACAATATGTTAGGAGACAACTGTGAAATATTTCTAGGAACTGTAAGTGTATTTATTTTTGCCAAATAACCCAACATGTGCCAAACCTCTTTGTCAACACTAACCCACCCTACAACTTAAAGCTATTTGTGTTTTAGCCTTTAACACATCCACCAACTGATTACTGCCAAGACTCATTCTCTTTCAAAGAGGTTCACTAATTGAAAGCCTGGGCATAAAGAAGGCATCTTCACAGCAGCCCTCCCCAAGAGCATTTTCACCTTAGTATTAAGGAAACATTTAGAAGCTTATGAGTTGGGGGAGGAGGGTCCTTTCAGAGAACTGGACTCGTGTGTTTATGAAATTAAAACATTCTGAGAAGTGAGGGGGAGGAAATGAAAAAAGATTTCAACTCAGTTCTGGTTTAAGGTCATGATCAAATAAGATCATGAATAAATAGAAAATAAAGTAGAGAGAAATTGAGGATGCCAAAGGAAGGGCATGGGGCTAAATTCTGTACGTATGTGATTCTTTCATAATGAATTAGAATGCAATTACAATGACATGGCATTTTCTTTCTGTGGATATTAGACACTTTGCTCCATAATTTCTCTGGAAGAAATTGTAGCCATTGTGACAGAGTCTGCCCTCCGGGGCTGCTTCCTAGATAGTAGCATGGAGATCATCAAGAAAAACATATCACCTTCCAAGCTTCCATCCAAACGGCACACCTCTTGTGCTGTTCACAAAGCAAGTGGTGCTGTGTCCAGCCAAGGAGAGAGAACTCAGGTTCATGCATTTAGTTTAGGTTTCTGGTGATCTCCTTCATCCCTGCTCTTGGCAACTATAAGCCAAGTCTGTGAAAGTATCAGCATGGATTCCATGGTTACCAAATGAAAATTCTATCTCGAGTCAGATATTCCTGCACCTTTCACATGGGGGAAATGGTCCAGTTTTTCCTTGATTGTATCACAGATGACATGAGAACAAGGCAGTTGGAAATAGTACTGAACAGCCGAGTCTCTCCGCAAACTCAGAGCACTCAAAACGCTTTGAACTTACGCAGCTGCTCTTTCTTTTTTTTAATTGTCTTCAGTGAAACTCCAAAATCCCCATGTCTACCTTTAAAGCATCAGGAATATTTTAATTGGGTAATAAGCATCCATATTTTCCTTATGATAAATTAAAAAGAATTAAGAATGAAATTTTATGATGATTATAAACTGTACTACTGACCCAAGAGACAAGAACAATTATGAAAAATATGTCCCACATATTTGGCATAAATATGAATTTAGACTTTTAAACCATTCATCTTAAATGCTCAAGCAACTTATTAAAGTTTATAAAATAACATTCATATAATGATAGCAGGGAAACTTATAATCATGATCAATATATCATCAATATTGCAGCAGGCTCCATGTCGAATAGTGAAGCTGACTTGGTCTTTGCCTGTTGGGTTTGTGATAAAAATAGATACACCATAGCCCTGGCTGGGTGGCTCAGTTGGCTGGAGTGTCATCTCGGGTTCAATTCCTGGTCAGGGCACTTATGAGGGGCACCTGATCAATGTCTCTCTCAGAAAAAAAAAATCAGTAAAAAACCCAAGTATATCCTCGTGAGAGGATTAAAAAAAAAAAGATACAATATAAAAAAGACAAAAGATGGTAACAGATTTGGGGTATCTGAGCATCTGAGATCCCCTCCCCCTTTTTTTTTTTAACACATATTACATCTTGCTTCTTCTCCCTCCTTTTCCCTTTTCTTCCTCTTGTGTTTTTTCCTTCCTTTCTCCTCCAATTAAAGTCATAAAAAGTTTTTTCCTTTCTCCTCAAATTAAAGTTTAAAAAAAGAAAAGTGATTTTTAAAAATGTGAAACACTGGACTTTGATTACTAAATATTGGAGTAGATCTGATGAAAATGAAACTTTAGTAACTAGCAACTATTTGAGGACAAGTTAGGTAACAGGAATATGGAATTCTTACATGAGGTAACCCACCACCCCTTAGCCCAGCTTCGGCCAGGTCCCAGATAGGGTCCTTTGAGAAGAAGAGCGCGTCTAGCTTTGAGTCAATGCTGCCTGCTAGCCCTCACAGTCAGTTAACTCTCATGGTAAACTTTTTGAATGCATTGAAGATAACTAAAGAAATTGCCAAAATTTCCATGATGTGGGCAAGCATGGGCATGCTAAATAGAGGGGCTGCTTGCATTTTTTTTATTTAAGCCCAGCCCTGTGGAGTCCTAGCAGTTGCCATTCAAACACTTACTGTATGTTAGCAGAAGTAAGCCCTTTAGAGTTTACAGTACTTAACTGGCAGTAGTTTGTTTCACGTAAGTACTGGTACTTTTTAGCATGGCTTAACCTCTGTTATGATTATAGAGAATACCCAAAAATTTAACCTCTGCCCATGGGCCTGGGGTTTTGTTCCCACTTCACTGTGTGACCTCTGGCAAGTTACTTAACTGGTCTGAGCCTTGGTTTCCTCATGTATAACATTTATGAAGCTAAGGCAGTAATGCCTCTTTGTAGAGTTAGGGTAAATATTAAATGGCCTAATATTCATAAAGCATCTGCCAGTAAATTATTACTGGAGTTTAAAGGCGGAAACAGATTAAATCTTTGATCTCACAGTTGTTCATTACCTAAAACTTTAAAGATCTTTCAAAAAGAGAGAGGGCATCCAAATGCATGTTGTAATATGAGCATCTCATTTACACTCAGAACTCAAACTTGAGCTTTCAGTGTTAGCCAACCTTCCTTCCTCCCATAGCAACCCGACAGAAAATATTTTTGTATAGTACAAAAGGACTTCATTCTTTTTACTCCAAATGATAACCTTTATTAGACAAGTCAGGCTAAAAACTGACCCAAAGGCCTTGAAGTACACAATTTCCTCAGAGATGGAAGAAAAACAAATAAGGGAAGAGGATTTGCTAATTGATTTTAGGGGCCTATGGTAGCATAAGAATGGCAAAGCATATGGAATTTTTTTTTTTTTTTTTAAATATTTTATTGATTTTTCACAGAGAGGAAGGGAGAGAGATAGAGAGCTAGAAACATCAATTAGAGAGAAACATCGATCAGCTGCCTCCCGCACACCCCCTACTGGGGATGTGCCTGCAACCCAGGTACATGCCCTTGACCGGAATCGAACCTGGGACCTTTCAGTCTGCAGGCCGACGCTCTATCCACTGAGCCAAACCGGTTTCGGCTGGAATTTTTCTAATAAAAAATTCTTCTGGGAAATTGCTTTAATATGCCAAGATTCATTCCATGATTAGTTTTATAAGCTCTTGAATATAAGAGCCGAGAATAGAAATGCTGACATACCTGTAACTGGAGCTGTGTGACTGGCATCCTGTCATGTTGTAACTGATAAAACAATCTTGGGCTAATTGCTGCATAGGAAAGGCAACAGAGAAGCTGTGATCACTCTTATGTATGACCATGTTGTAACAGTCTGACAAACTGCTTGATTGAGATCAGCAATGGTAAGCCCATTCATGGTTGTTTCTCCCAATAAGACCTCAGTAAAATATCACCAAATCTTCACAAAAGATAGTTTATTGCACTATACTGAGATTTTTTAACTGAAGTCAAGAGACACCACGCTATTTTGTGTTGATCCATTCACTGGTCCTTGAGAATTGATGAAAAGGCACTGGAAGAAAACATGAATGAAGCAATCATTTATTAATCTGTTCATATTATTCTCAGTAACAACAACAGAAAGAAATACACTGTACTCTAAAAATAGGGCTATTTCTGCATATTTTACTTCATTACTTTAAGTAGCAATACTGACTATACTAAGGTTTGGAGTTGTTTATACCATTGGCCAAATGTCATTGAATTTTAGTTTTCAGGATCTGCTGGCTATTCTTGTGGCAATTGCCTAATTTGGGGCTATATTTTATATTTGCCTTTAAATTTGGGATATTCTGCCTTTATTCTTTACAAATGATCGCCATCTTACAGGGCTTTCCATTTTTTTCTTTTTTCTTTTCTTTTTTTTTAGTTTATTCAAATAAATTATAGCCAGATAGTAACTCTAAAGCATAGTTATTCCCCCCTGGTTTTCTCTGTCGACCTACATATGCCTAGATGCTCTCATTTATAAAGTAAGGCTCTTTAAAGAGTCATTCTAAGATTGCAAAATATCAGTGTAGTATATTCAATCATCTGGGCCTAAATCAATTGGTACATTTTGGAAGAGCCTAGTATATTCTGCTCCTTTCTCTAGGTAGGTGGGGAGAGGGTGGGTAGGATGCAGAGTCCTTGTTTGCAAAAAGAGGACATTCTGCTTGGGGGAATAAGATGTTAGTTTACTCAGGAAAGTAGACCATTAAGAGCTAAACTGTGTGCTGTGTACGTTGGTGCTTTAGAAGATCAAAGGAAGGATGGAGCAGGGAGGACAGAAAGAACTTCTGAGGAAGGTTCTCCAGAAGAGGTGGGCCGACTGTGTGTGGAAGGTGGGCGGCTGTGGATGGATGAGAGCATTTCCAGTAAAGGGAACATAGTGGGTGGAAATGCGAGGCAGGAAGG